GCACACATGTCTCTGCTTGTTTAAATCTTACTCGTTCTTCAAGGCCCAACTCCAATATGATCTTCTTTCTGAAGCCTCCTCAACTTTCTAACTCAGAGGCTTAAACAATTTTATTCTCCCTGATGCTTTCTAATTACCCTGTAGTGTAATTAATTATGCCAGGGTTCTGCAAAAGCAGAGGACCTCAGTCTCATAGGTGCCTGAAAATTGCTCTGAATTCATTCAGCATTCAACATACACTGGGCAAGAGAGAAATTATTGAGCAGCAATTAGGTACTGGATGTCACTAGGAGAATAAGATAAGGTCCTTGCTTTCAAAGAGTTAATGTTTCCCTCCTTCATTGTCTTCACACTTTATCTACTCCAGCCCTTAATGGTCCTGAGGTCACTTCTCTAACTACTTCAGTCCACATTAAACTTTTCTTCTTTGATCCCCACCAGCGACAAATAACCAGGATTGTGCTGCTTCCCTTTCCATCCATCCATCCATCCATCCATCCATCCATCCATCCATCCATCCATTATTTATTGAGCCCCCACTGTGCCAGACAATGGGATAGGCAACCTGTGAACAAAATATAGTAAGTACCTGCCTTCAAAGTTCTTAGAGTGTCGTTAACGGCTTTCTCTGCTATTTTTGTCTCCTGGCTAGGCTGGACGTTCTTTGAAAGCAGGGAAAGTTTTGTACTTTTTTACATTGCTGGCACAGCGACTGTTACAAGCCCTTGAAAGAGTGAGTAAAATATTTGTTTTCCGACCCTCCTTTCTCATTTAGAGCTTCCCTTACCTGATACTGTTAAACTGAAGGGAAAAGAAGCCTTTTTGCAGTACCCCAGGGAAAAACTCCTTCGGGGCTGAAGATGGAAGTTTCACTCTCTCCTCTCAGAAAAACAAGCCCAAGAGCACAAATCGCAGCTCCTCAGCAGGCTGTTGCTGTGACGCATCTGTTGCTAAGAGAAAGGAGGCGGTGACTCTGCAGAGATTGACAAAGCACCGAAACCAATACAGTCTCCGCTCCCTAACAGTCTCTTTCAGAACAGGCTTGTGATTGGTTGCTATGATGCTGACATCACGTAACGTGGAAACAGGGCGAGGTCCGCAGTTTTTCAGTTACAAGAAAGGAATTGTGCAACTTAGGTATATTGAGGACAGTGGCCTGGCCTGACCCCAAGGTCTGACAGGTTTGGTCCGACAAGTTTGGTCCAGCGCAACCGTACCTGAAGGAGAATCCTTCTGGAGTGTGGTCTCCAGCAGCAGGGAGGGAAGGGTGATATGAAAACTATGGAGTTAAAATCCTTAGGACAGCTGCCCTGCGTACCCCAGAGGCGAGCTGGGGCCCTCCTAGGAACCTGCCTAGATTCCTGTGTGGAGAGATGACAATAGGATCCGATTATCTTCTCACGTGTTACCTTTTCCTCTTGCCAGAATAAGTTTTGAGTAGAGTTTGAGTCAAACTGAAAGTATGAGTCTTGGGGGAAGAAGATTAAATCCCTGAGTAACTTCAAAGTTCATTTTATGTGTGGTTATGGGTCCTATGGGATTCATACAGCCAAGATCCTCTCTCTGCAGTTTCCTTTTTTCCTCTAAAAATAATTATAATTGCTAATTTGTAAGCTGGAGGAATTTAATAAGGTAATGCAATTGACTGCTGTAATTGGTCTAAATTAATTTTTTACATTCAAATGAAAATATTTGAGAGGAGGCTTATAGACATCTGAGACAATGATTCTAAATTAGATAAGACTTTACACGATCATATATATTCTTTCAAATTTATGAAGAATTTATGTTTGCAAAATGAAAATAAATTTTACTAAAGATATTTTTAAAAACCAACAAAATGGGAGGAGGATTTATTCTTGCGACAACCTTTCCCCAGGCTCTTCCACTGACACTGAAAGATAAAATTCCCCTGGGCTCACCTCTAAGTCTCCTTTTCTCACTCTGCATTCTCCTGGTGTTATCATATCTACTCCCTTTGGTTCAACTATCCCTTAAAAAAGATCAGTGACTTCCATTTCTATACCCTCTACCTAATATATTTCTTCAATTCTAGACCTGAATTTCCAGGCCCTATTGCAGATTTCCAAATACATGTTCAACTTCGTTTACCACGTTCGATAGTTGCTAACTAAAGATATTGAATGAATAAGTGAATGAATGAGTTACTGTACCATAGGCATTACAACTTAGCAAAGCCAAAAGTTAACTCATTATCTTTTAGCTATCTTTTGAAACTTTTTTCCTCTTTTGTTTTCTACCTTAGGTAATAGTATCCACTGTTTGCAGAGCCAGAAATCTGATAGTCATCCCTGACCTCTCTTCTATTTCCCACAGCTGACATGTCACTAAGTCCTGTCATTTTCCTTTCATAAATATCTCTCAAATAATCCATCTCTTCTTAGCCATCTTCACTGTCTCTGCTTTATTTCAGTTATGACTCACCTAGATGATAGTAATACTGTCTTGTGAATTGTTTGGTCTTCTCCTCTCCAGTTACTAAAGAGTGTTCTACTACAGAGATTCCATCCTGACATCACCCTGTTTATATATCCTCAATCTGGCATATGAAACCCTGCACAAACAGGGTTCTGAAAGATATTTGAAAGCTATTTGGAAGATAATAAATTATTTTCCTAACCTCATTTCCTGCCCTTCTCCCTGGCTCAACCCACATTTTAGTCTAGTGCTTCTTAACTAAAGTCCCTGAAGGCCTAGGGCCATGAAATCATAGGAGTTGGGGGTTGGTAACAGGCTGATGGAAAAAGGAGTTATAGCTTGAAATAGTTTTCTGCAATAGTTAGATAAATTTGTTTCATATAAATAATTCATTCTGTTCTATGATGTATTCATTTGTTTTAATTTTTAAAAATGTCTAAAATACTTATACAATGTCATGACAATTACATCTCAATAAAACTAGGAAAAAATGTCTAAAATCACTGTTAACCAAATGACACAAAATTGAAAAAACTCAGTAAGGCCCCAGTAAGCTGTGACATGCTCATTCTGTATTCTCCCACAGCATACCCCTGCGCAGGCCCAGGAGCCTGCAAGTCCCAGGTTGAGAGGCAGAGCTCAGGTTACACAGAGCTCTTGACCACTCCTCAAATATGCTACACCTTTCACAACTGTGCATCTGTTCATCTCACTGCCTCTACTACTACCTCTACCTCACCCTGTAATTCCTTTCTTCATCTTTGTTACTTGGTAAACTATTTATTTTTCAAGACCCAGCTCAAATATCACCGTCCCTACAAAGCCTCCAGGTACCCAACAGAATTAGTGACCCTTTTCTCTGTCCACTATACCATATATTACATTGTGTTGCAAAAGCTTGTTTATATAGATGTCTCTCCCACTGGATTTTAAGATGCGGATAGCGTCTCATTCCTTTATATCTCCACTGTCTAGCAGTGTATTTGACATGCGTATTTAATAAAATATACATTGAATATATTTAAAGCAAATCTGAAAGAAGCTCTCTAACAAAAGTTTCTTAGTATTCTTCCAAATAATTTATTTTTCTTAAAAATATTCATAATTAGCACAGCACAGGGAATGCAGTTAGCATTAATATGATGGCTAAGTGGAGGGCCAGGGGAGGGAGGGAGCAATTGAGGATATCATTTTATAAACAATATAGATGTCTAACCAATGTACTATATACTTGAAACTAATTTAAATAAACTTATTTTAAAAAATTTATAATCCTTTGCAGTCAGATTTAAGGAAATAAAGATTATTATCTTGTGATTTGGGTGAGACCCTAAGCTTTTCCGTTTCTCTTCTTTAGAGATACCTCAAGGAGACATCCATTTGGAGAGGTTTTTGTTTGTTTGTTTGTTTGTTTGTTTGTTTTTTAAGAGTTGGCTCAGAAACTAAGGGTTAAGCACGCTAAACAGGAATCTTTAAACCTTTTGTTTGTCTGCATCAGTATGCCTGGGAGGAAGAAAGAGTGGGAAGGAAGTTTCCTTGTTTGAGTTCTAAACTGCTGGGATTTCAACAACCTTCTTGGGGAAACTATCACTCCCAATGGCAGGAGGAACTGAAGAGCATCCCAGAAGAGTACTCACCTTAAAAAAATGAGAAAACAGAGAGAAAGGTCTGACTTGGGAACAAAGCTTAAATATTGGAGGAGAGGACCAACTGTGGCAATTCTAGAAAAAAAAAGAACTAAAACTTCAATATGAAATCGGAATATGTGCAACACTAAAGTGAAGAGAAAGGCATTCTTATGATTTCTGCACAGAATTTGAGGCTAATGGAAACTAAAGAGGACACAGTACCCTGCCCACAGGGTCCTTCCCACAAGGGAAGGCAGGGCCCTATAGGTGGTCTCCGGACTCTGGGCAGCAGATGACTCTCAAGGGGCCAATTCAGGAACTAAGAAGAAAAATATGGGGCTATGTGGTAGCAGAATAGACTTCTTTGTGAGTGTGGGTGAGATCTCATTCTCTGTACCCAGAAACAGTTGGTAGTGGAAGAGTCATTGTATGGTGGTGATAGTCCTACAATATCAACAGGCATCAAGAGTGAGTGAAATATTAGTTCTACACGTATAATGATTATTATTACCACTAAGGCACTTTAAATATTTTTTAAAGTAGAGCCACTTAAATAATACTGTTCTTACAGTTAGAAAAATTTGTTGAAGCCTAAATTGGTCACTTTCTGAGTAAGTAACATCAGGCAAGCTATTAAACTTTCTATATCTCAGTTATATATCTGCAAAATTTGGGATGATAATCAGAGCGAAGACAGATAAAGGGAAGAGCAACCACATTGCTGGCCATGGAGGCATTCTTAAAAGGAAATGAAACTTCATAGTGATGAATTGGAAATAGATTGACAGTTAGTTTAGTTTCTACAGGGAGCTTCTCACATACCAGGAGACAAAAAATTGATTCTTCTCTCAACTAAGCAGATCACTTCATATTTAAAATAAAATCTACATTGAATATTTTTGCCATCTGAGGGCACAAATCACAAGATTCAACCAAAAGATAATGCTCCCATCTCTGAGTTTAGCCAGTTTTAATAACTAAATTTTAAACAGTTCAATATACTCCTAATAAATTATCTAGTTTGGAAAATTGTACTCAATAATAAATTATTTCAAATGTGAAGAAAGCAAATACGTGTTTGTTAACAGAAATTAGTTTTTTCCTATTTCCACTAGATATATGGTGAATAAATTTTTAAAGACTATTAGTTTGAAGGGATGTCAAATTATTAGCCTGTCCAAATTGCCCACAGATCTTAATCTGTTCCTTCCGCATAGCACTGCCATGAAAAGGCCAGCGTAGTGTCTCAAATGTGGTATATACTCAGTCAATAGTTGTTACATCAGAATTAATCTTAAATTTTGTTCAAAGTGAATTTATAGACATGGCCTCCGCCCTTTGGTGATGATTAAAAGTAATTTGAATATTCAGCTGTCAACTAGACACTTCTACTTGTATGTCTAATACAAAGTTATTCAAAGGGTGGCCCTCGGATCAGAGCCAGCCAGGAAATATTTGTGAGTAGCCCATTAACCCATAAAGTATTTGTTACCTACCTGCACCAAAAGAAGCACAGAAATTGAAGTGCTTTAAAACTTAAAACTATGGAAATGATAGCATTTTGATAGGGTGACCACTTTATGTTTTATATGAACAAAATCGAGGTTTGCATTTTAAGTGTTTTTATTCCATTTTCCCAGCAATTTATTTGAATTATAGTTTACCTAATTATCAGCCTGTGAGAGCAGTGAACACAAAACCAGACCAAGTAGCCTCTAACAGCAGCCGGCAAAGCACTTAAGAGACGTCTCAACACATTCAAAATTGATCTGATTCTCCCCTGTCAACCTGCTCACTCTGCAGCCTTTTTCACCTCAATTGACGGCAATTCCATCTTTAAGGTTGCTCAGGCAAAAACCTGAGAG